GCGGGGACGGGGCTGCTGCTTGCCCTTGGCTCCGGCAGCACCGGGCAGCGGCACCCAGCTCACCCGTGCCCCTAGCCCGGCCGTGGAGCGGTGCCTGTTGGCTTTTGGAGCAGGGCTCTGGGGGCTGCGTGTTTACCAAAACCTCCTGTGTGCACTCAGTGATGTGACTTGTAATTAAAATGGTGCATAATGCAAAAAAAAAAAAAAAAATTTGTTCCACATAGGTCTTGCAAGGCTTCCAAATGTAGAGAGGAACACGGGCTGCCTGTGCTGCGCGGGTACTAATTGCAGCCCTCTGACAGGAATGTAAATGCAGTTCTTTAGCACATCCTTATCGCAGCGTGTGTGGGATTTACATATATAACTCCTATTAATGCTAATGGGAGCTGTATACATAATGCTCTTTGCACAGGGCTAACACTGTATTTTTATCTGAACCTGATGCAAGTGGTAACAGGACCCATCTTATAATAAGCGGATGGATCAGCAGTTTCTTACAGGAAGCTTTCTTAAAGTTTTGGTTCTTTGAAAACAGAGGGAGCCAATGCAAGTAAAGGAAGCTGCAATTTTGTTTTGTAATACCGCTATGGAAGGGACATAACATAAATATAAAAAGTACTGTGTTGTCCAGTGTGTCCCACTGAGTCTGATTGTGTTTCTTTTAGAGTTTCTTTTTGGTTATGCAATCTGACTTTTAATGTTTGGATATGTTTAAAGCTTTCCTTGGGGTATTAGTACTTAGAAAACATAGCATCTCTTCTATTCAGAGTCTTGTCTCTTCAAGTTGATTCATCATTTTTGAATCTGTGCCAAAAGGCTCACATTTTGCACTAAAATGCACCTGTAGCAGGAAGCATCCTGAACCTTCTCCTGTAATTGGGAGAAATTTGTTTTCACTGGCTAGCAAAGGCCTCCTACCTTTTGCTAGTAATATCCAAAGTTTTTGAGTCTCTTGATTGTTTCTTAAGCTTTTTCGTCATCATCACCTCTTCTTTAAGCTTGTGCCTGGATGGGAAATTGCAGCTTCTCCTTTCAGAAAAGCCAACGTCCTGCAACGGCTATGCTTAGTTTGCCACCTCAGAATTGAAATACAGTACTGTGTATTCTCCAGGGTAGAAGTTTGGGTTTGAGTTATTGAGAAGTTTGAGTTATTCTAAGCTCATACGAATTGTCAGAAATCTACTGAGTTAAGAATTTGCACCATCTGAGAATGAAAATGCCCTAGCCCTCCCTCCTATTCGTTTTTACAGGCTTGCATTTATTCCATGCACACAAACAAGCACAACTCAATGCTGTGCCAAACCGAATACAGGCATTTTTAAACATGATTGTATTTAGACTGTAGAGAGGATCTTTACATTCTCCTCCTCCTCCTCTCTACTCTGCTGGGCTAGTTGTTGGTAGACAAGACTGTTGAGTGGCTGTCACATTAACTTGAGGGAAGCTAAGGGAGAAGTGACAGGATGTCCATGGTGAGAGCTGCCTTCTAAAGAAGTTGGTATTGTGTAAGGCTCATCTGAGATACAGTTTGATGATACACTAGGCGTTTTAAAGGATGTCTCTGTTTTCATAGGGTTTTCATTTAATCTTTTCTTCCTTATGTGCTGGATAAGGCTGGAGTCTTACATTAGCATTCAGCTGAATAGTTAAGTTATTGTTTAAGGATTTTTGTGCGTATGCTGAGAGACTGTTCTGATGAGCACAGCTTATATGCTGAAATAAATGTCAAAACCATAGAGACAGAGATAACAGAAGAATAGGATTTTGATGGCTCATTTATTATGTTGGGAAAAAGAGTTCAGTATCAGTTTATCACTGTGAAGAATGCAATGTGCCACTGTAGTGTTAATCCTTTACAATGGAGGAATACAGGTTTTATATTTGTTTATCACTGACTGCAAGAGAAATGGATCTGTTCCTTTCAACCTGAGAAATCTGAAGTTTTGGATAGCGTGTGAAAATGTAAATGTTACATAGAGATTTAGTAGCAAGAAGTGATATATCAACTTGCATTACTGCACAGAAATAACATTTCGTAAACATAAATCTTGAAAATAAAAAGCTGAGAGACAGTGAAAGCAAACTTTACATTGGGAAGTATTTGTTATCAGAAAAAAATAATCTGAGTGGGCTGGACTGGCAATGCAGACTTGTAAAAACAGTCATAATGACTTGTCTTTTCTCTTTGCTTTTGGCAGAATTAAAAAAGACCTATTGCTTACTTAATGAATTATTTCCAAAGACACTTCACTAAGTTACTTCTGCTATGAAACAGCTACTGTATCTCAGTAGCCTTATAAACAAAAATTCAGATTGCATGCTAATAGAAAAGGAATGTATAATCCAGATTTGAATCCCAGATGGAGATGGGAACCTTTTGCTTCTGTACATTCTGTGAAACCCATTCCATAACCTTAAAGCACCATAAAAAATGGAAGGAACCCAATCACAGTGATTAAAACCCTGGTACCTAATTAAAATATTGTACCTGGTTGACTCATCATTGTGCTAGCTGTCTAAACCTGACCTTGGAGTGTGATGGGGGAAAAAATCACGTGGGAAGGCTTATGTTAGCCAGAAAGAACAAGGAATGAATTAACTGAATGCTGTTTAATGAAAATTTTTCTTAACTCTTTTCAGTGAAGACCTATAATTTGCATATAACCTAGACACTGCATTTCCAGAGCATTCAATAGCCTAATTTAGTGTAATAGGCTGATTTATAGTAAAAATACTTTTTTTTTCGCTTAAAGAATCATCTTAAGGTTTAAATATGAATGCTGTTCATACTGGATTTTACGACATAGATTTGAAAAAATGTCTTATTTTTTTTCTGCTGTAGTGAGTGATAGCAAAAATGTTAGCAAATTTCACATTTCAATTGAGAAGTAAAAGTAAGCTCAAGGAGTGAGTTTGCTGTTCGTTGGGCATACCCACCCTTATGAGCAGGTTTCATTGCATTAGAAACATAACTTTATACTTTGTTTTCAGGTTGGAATGACACCATGGCCAGGGAAGTAGAGTCTGGAGAATGCACAGTTACATGTGGTAAGTAGCAAAGCAGATGAATAAAACATATTGTCATTTGGTTTTGAAAAAAAAAAAAAAGAAAAAGTGCTAACTGTAGCAATTTAGCAGTTGTAATTTGCTTGCCCTTGTTCACCTCTCATTGATTTCGATTGCCAATAACTATAATTAACAAAAACAATCGAGCTGATTGTCATTAGAAGTTTAGGTCGGATCTGTTGTTTTATTAATTTCACAGCCTGCAAGCTCCTATTTTAAACCAGTTCCCTACGTTTATTGGCACATGAGCTGTCTTCCCCAAAGTAACAATTTTCGCTATTTGTGAACATCTGTGAGATGTTCAGAAGATGAAAGATCTTCTGATGCTTCTCACAGATGTCTTCCCACATACAATATTGCCAAAAAACTGCTTGCCTGCAGTAGCCTGTTCTGTATTCCACATTTATACAGTTTATAAAGCATGCAATGGAGAGGAGAGATATCATTCTGGAGTAGGAAGGGGGAGAAGAAAAATGGGTTGAGCCTTAAGAAGTCATCTCTTTTTAGGTGGTGGTAGAGATTGCAGTGGCATTTTAATTATATTCCTTAGGAAGCAGTCTTGAATGTTAAGTTTATCCTGAGCAACTTCTGCTTCTCATAAGGCAATGGAGAGAAAAAGATGAGTTTTTGCCCCATCAATCTGACCTTCTTTTCTAGAATAGGCCTTTTTTTTTTTTAGACATTTTTGCATGTTTTCCATGTTGGAATTCCTTGATTCCCTAAGGGAAACTATTTCACATCTTAGAATATTCTAGTATTAGGAGATTTTTTATGCTCTTTTCTATTTTATTATATCCTTTTCTTACCTTTGCAGCTTGAGAGCTAATGGTATGGTCAGTATACCATACTCTTTTATGAGCATACTCTTTTATGGTCAATTCCATGTATACATTTTATCCTCACTGCTTTGATGCTCACATTCTTTGGATACTGAAAAATTGTTTCCTATGTCCTGTCCCACTAGCAGACCTCTCAAATGCCCTGTATTTTCAGGGAATTTCACTAAGTTTCATCTCAGTTTTATGTTTGGTCACTCCGATTTAGTATTTAACTCCTTTAATACTGAAAATTGTGTGCCATCCCACTGAAGAGTCAGGAAATGGAAGCTCTGGGAAGGACTAAAAACACATCACCTCATATCTGGAGTTCAGGTAGTGTTTGTAGCCGTCGTTTGAATCTGGCTGTTACACGTCTGTCTGTTGAAAGGCTGACAGGTTCTCTTAGTTCTCACAGCAAAACTGTCAGCTGTTTGTCTCCTTCCTATTCCTACTTAGAATCATCTCTCTTTATATTTGTTGCTCTCTGAACTGTCTCACTTTTCTTGATGTTTTTTCTGTGTGCTGTGTCCCGAGTCCATTGGCCCTCTGTTCATATTCCAAGTGTTTTAAATCATTGAAGCCTAAATACTCACTTGTTAATGAAATTTTATCATATCTGGCTAAACTGGGTTAGTCTTTCCAAGGTCAAATTCTTTTGTCCACTCCTTCCTCTAGATTCTTATGATATAAGTGTTGTTTTCCTATTGCTGTTCCTATTCAGTTCTCGGTGATTCTTTTTCCCCCACCGGATCTATTAATTTACATTTTTCCAGGGTTAATTTCATTTGGATAATTTTCTGCCCAATCTTTTACAAGTCTTTGTACTGAATTGTGACCATTTTTTTTTCTGTGAGATTAACACTTGTTGAAGGTAAGATCCAGTAGATTAATTTCATCAGAATTGGCAGCTACAAAAGAAGAGGTGCAGAAAGCACACATCGAAATGAAAGGAAAAAGCTCTCCCAAAGGAAGAGGCAGAGGAGTACTGACAGAATTTGCAGATCTCCCAAGCAGAGCTTTTTTAGTCATCCCTTTGAGTTTGTACTTACACAATTTTAATATTCTGATAGTTAAGGCACGGTGAATTTTTTCCTGATGAATGTGTCTATACTTAGCCCAGCAATCAGATTTTCTCAAGTCAGTCTTTCGGATTTTCATAGGTTTCCTGTTTTTGTTGTTGTTGTTGTCTAAGAAAATTCATGGCACTGAAGAAAGCAGAATGCCTTTCATAAAAGTGTCAGTTCATTGCCATTTACACCTCTGTCTGTGCAAGGAGGAGATGAGACATTCTCTGCAATGGAGAAAGATCCTTGTTTTGTGTCAGTGCCAGTAAGTGGTGTTGTCTCCCTCTGTCACTTGAAGTGCTGTTTCATGAGTTATATGACATCTCTAAAGGATTCTGAAATACACTGGTTTATATACTACACATTTAAAGAAGGCAGATGCATCAGAAATGCAACATTCAAATCAATTTCCCATTTATTGTTGTAGTGCAAAGGGGGGTTAAATCTCCTCTCCCCATGACTGTTTAGTGAACAAAATGCTTCTGGAATAATGGCAAAATCTTTGGTGTTTATTGGACCTAAGCATATTATTCCTTCCTCCCCCACATGCTGTGTCATTCCGGTGAACTATGTATGCACTGTTTGGCAAAAGCAATTACAGCACTTGTTTTGCATTTCTTTGTTAAAATGAGGATGTTCCCATTGAAATCCTGGTAATGAGAGTGAACACTTATTGCTTAATTGAATGATCTATGGAAAAATTAATCCTTAACTTTAAGTATTTATGATAGGCTATCTCTTGTTCTTCAGTACACCCCCTACATTGCTGATAGAGTCTTTATGCTCCACACTAGTTCTCACGCCCTTCATACTGCTGGCCACCATCCAGTGTGGTCTCTGGCAGGCTTCATTTAGGAGTTTGGTAACGATATTCCTTTGTCTCTCATTGTTGGTTACCATAGGGAAAATCAGGACTCTCCAGTCTCAATCCTAGGAAATTTTTGGTGCCCTCAGTTTCTGGTCACCTTGGTGGGAGTTGAAGACACTTAGAGAATCACCAGACTGGAGGCAAACTGAGTTGGCAGTCTGTACAGTAATATCTGTGCCATCTGATTTGAGCATTTAAAGGCCAGGTGCTTGAATGCTTTGATATTTAGAGTGAAGTAATTGTTTTGCAGCACATACATCAGTTTCATTTTGAATTCTTTTTTTCTTTAATGAAAATCTGAATTTATTTTGAACTGCTTTTCTGACACAAGGGTCTGTCTCCTTGTGGTGCAAAGTTTGACAGAAGTAAATGCTGTCTTGTACTCCTAGGTAGTAATATGGGATAGCTTTAGCAGGCATTCAGAGAAGGTCTGTTTTGCCCGCTGTGGTAGATGATAATACCATGCATGTCAAAGAAGGAGAATGTAAAAACAGTTGAAAGGAAGTGAAGAAATGCTGATTGAAAGATACACATTTTTTTTTTTTCCCAAAGGGATTGGCATTCGAGAAGTTCTGTTAACGAGGGGATGCCCTGGAACTGAGAAAAAATGTGTTGTCCGTGTGGAGGAGTGCCGGGGGCCAGTGGACTGCGGATGTAAGTGGAACACTGTGGTACAGGAACCTAGAGCAAACTGGTGATTGGAAGAAAACATCCTTATTCTTTGTGTTTGTGGTGGAAGTAGAATCATTTTATTCCACCCTCCAGTTACCCAATTGAGCATGCTGGGAACATTTCAGATTTCATTTGTATACTGATGTGTATTTCATTTCAAGACGCTGTATTATTTTTCTGCTCTTCTTTTCCATTTTGTAGATAAGTATATCGTTACAAATAGTAGCGCAAGCAAAAACAGTATTTGAAGTAATGTTAAGGAAAAAAAAAAAGATGATTTCCAAGCAATGTTCTGCAGGTTGAAGAGTTATGAACTTTATGGTCTATACAGAAGCAGTTTCAGAGAGTTGATGATGTAGCTATTAAAAATTCCTCCCACAGGGGGAGAACCAGTTTCTGACGGCTCTGGCAGTGTGAAGATGCCTTGTATTTTTATACCTCCTGAAAATCGATTTAAGTATATTTGGAAGATATTAATCGCAGACCAGGTAAGTAATTGAAACCCTCTTTATGCAGAAAAATTGCATACTGAATGTGTCTACCACGTGCTCCAACTGACTTGTACAGACTTCTGGGCTGATTATTTCCTTTGTTGTCATAATACAAACAAGCCCTGATTTCTTGCTGGTAAGTTGGTATTATTGAGGCTTGCAGGACTTTGCACCTTTATGGAGCTTCAATTTCCATTTTGTTTAAAGGAAAATATTATTTCAGAGAGCGATACTTGTTTGCTCTTATTTCAGAAATATTTGGCATAGTGACTGATGTGTGAATACATGTCAGCAAGTTACAACCACATTGCCCTTCACAGCTGTTGAAACAGCAGGTGCTGAAGAGATGGTAGGTATTTTCTCAGCAGCCACGGGGTACTGGTGTGTTCAAAACTGTTGAGATAAAATAAGTGCTTCTTCTGTATGCCTAACAGAATGCAGCTCTGCTTCGCCAATCTATTTGAAAAGAGACAAATCTTCTCTCTTTTTTTCTTTCTTTCTTTTTTTTTGTACATATAATATGGATAGCCAGCAGTCACTCTTCCCAATGATTCAGCTATTTTGGAAGTACGCAGAGATACCCGCCCAGTTACTTTCCAGTGTGAAACTCAAGAAAGGGGAATTACAATTGCCTCTGTAAAATACACGATCTACACTACACCTGGTAAGCTCACAGGGACGCTTGCAGTGTTCTAGAAGATGTGACCTTGTGTTCGTTATGTAGTGCTCAATCTTCGTAAGATTGCATGTCACCAGTAGCACACAGGCAGGAGCTTGTGTGCTTTGGTAATGACTGTCATGAAATACAGGCCAATAAAAGAGAGATATAAAAGGAAGTGACAGAATGGGAATGAAGAGGCTTCTTGTGGTAGAAATGAGTATTCTCTTTAGCTTTGTAAATTCCAGAAAAAAAAAAGCAGGTTTTCTTCTTAGCTGCTCCTTTATTACTGCATCTGGAAAGCAGCACAGACTTCCTTTTGCCTGGGTAGATTGGAGGGTGATCGGTTACACAGAAGCCACAGAACATCGGGCACTTTTGTGGTTAAAACTCCTTTCCCCTCCAGTACTGAAGCAAGAAAGCAGTCTTTTGAGGCTTCTGTTTTAGCTGCCATCTGGAGTTTGCTGATGCACAATGGATTTACAGAGTATTTGTACTAAAAAAAATACGTCATAAAGCAGTTCTCATGTAACATCTTTCTCTCTCCTTGCTAATGGGATTTTTTTGCTCACTTCATCAGGAAAAGTAGCAGTAGTCTGATCTACTCAAACCATGAGAATAACCATGTGGAGGCTGTAGCTTTCCTAATCAGAGGAAAGGTGAAAAAAACCTTCCTCATCAAAATGTAAAGTTTTCCCTGAAATAATGAGGATTCAGCTGTTATGCAAAAAACATAGCAGACTAGAAAGAAAGAAATCCTTGGGGATACCCCTCCCCCTTCTCTTCCTTTCATGTTTATCTAGATAAAACAGTCCAGCCTAAGAATCCTGCTTTTACTCTTTAATAAGATCAGCTATTTTCTCTGTCTATCTTGAGGTCCTTCCTACCATTGATCAGTAACCAGGAATTTGTTTATTTCTTTTCTAAATCCATCTGGCAGTCACAATACAGCCAAAACTCTGATTATATCAATTTATATTTTCTTTTTCTTCTGCCACTATTAAGTCCATACATTTCCTTTTGTACAAAGAGAATATTTCCTTTTTGAAACCTGCATCAGCAGAGGACAGAGGTCTGTTTTAGATCTAAGCATGCAGATATAGTCCCATTGACTTGAGTAGGTGAGTCATCAGCAGCACCACACACACCTATACTTAAGCTCTGATTAAATAGTTATGATGCAAAGCAGTCAAATGAAGCCTGTCCAACAGATAGAGCCACTGAGAACTTCTTCCACGACTGAAACTATTGGTTATGGCTATGCATAAATCTGAAGGAGACAAGTTCTAAAGTTTATTAAATAGCTTCAAAAAGGAGTGGATTGTCGTGGGTAGTGAGAGGATTTCCTCCTTTAGCTTTGTCCGGAGATGTGAACATAACCAAAAGACTTTCTGGGATCTGCTCCCCCAAGAGTGCCTGTATTTGAACTTTAAAAAATACCAAATCTTTATTAGTTATGAGAAAGAAGTTAGCAGCAGAAGTTTTGGTAAAGAATGTACCGGTGCTTGCATCATACAGGTCCAGTTTTCTTGAAATGATCTGAAATTCAGTGAGATAGTGTATTTACTTTTTCAACAGAATCAGGAGCAAATTAGAAAAATCTCTTTGATAGAATCAATATGTGTGGCAAAATTGATTGTGTGTGGATATAGATTTTTCTTATCTGCTGCCTTATAGTTTGCAGAGCTGCTGTTCAGACTTTGGAAAGGGGCAGTGGTTCTTCCTGCCGTGTAACATTGTCTTTTCCAGTTCTCCAATAAATGATTTTTGAAATAAAGGTTGAAGAGTTTCATATGTAAGCTTAAATCATGCAAGATTGTTTTTCTATGTACTACAGAAATTCTACGTCTTCTCTTCAGGGAAGAGCTTTTCCTTTGCCATAAACTGGTCTTCAGCCTGAAGTATAGAGAAGGAAAAAATCTCCAAACCAGTATCAAAAATTAGATTTATTTTTCAGTCAGTCTACAGGACTGAATTTTTTTTCTTCCTTCATCCAAAAATGGCTTCAAAGATTTCAAGTCAGGGTGAGTTGGATGGGCAAGAACTGTCTGTAGGAGAGTGTTCCATATTTAAGAAGAGTATTTGAATCAGTTGAACTGTCAAATAAGTTTTATTTAGGAATAAAGTAGGCCTGCCTGTCTATTAGGTCCTATATATGTGTATATATACATATATATATATATATATGTTTTCCTGCAGCTGGCATGCTTGTAGCCTTCTGTCTGAGGCACTCAAGTCCATAAAGCTTAAGTTTGTACTTTGTCTTTTTCATGACCTTTCAGATTCCCTTTGCTATTCCACTGTGATTGATTTCTTTGTGCCAGTCCCAGAGCTACAGGACAGGGCAGAGGAAGTGCAAGTGCTTTTGCTTGGTGGCTAGCAGGTCAGCAGAGCTCGAACGAACCAGGGCAAACAAGAAGGGGCAAATGCCTCACGCTTCCTCCTTTCTTTAATGCTCTTTTTTTTTCTGCCTGTGAGACCAGCAGGGGCCAGATTCTGTGATAGTTCAGGACAGCAATAGCAATGCACTATTTTACAGTCTGGCCTCAAAGCCAGCACTTGGAATTCCATAGCATGACACCTTCTGGTTCAGATTTTGAGGTCTGTGAGATAGGATGAGGGGAGGACTCATGTTGCAAAAGGGCAGGTAAAACATCATGGGGTTTTGGGTATATATTCCATGTGGAAAAATTTAGTATGACTTCATTTTATCACTATCCACTGAGACCTTATGTATGTCCTTACTCCACTGATCACTGCCCTTCTCAGTGACTTTCTTTTGAACAGGCTGTTGATCAGCCTTGTGTTGATCTTTGTGTGTGAATGAATGGTCTTTAGTAATTTGGCTCTTTGCTTTGTTTTCAGAACCATTCAGGCTGGTGGGTCCTTGTCTTTCACAGCAATCTGTTCACTAAGAAAAAGAAGTATTTTATCTTCAGCAAAAAAATACTGTGATCTCTGCAAAGGAAACCCTATGCCTTAACAGCTGGAGTTTCTGTATCTCCTTCTTACTAAATCACTACTCTGAGGTACAGTAAAGGGTCTTTTTCCACACTGTTGCCTGTAATGTTGTTAGGCATTTTGTTACGGCTTCAGAGCCAGAAGGCAGTTTATTCATATTTTCTAATAATAGCCCTGTGGGGACTATTTTGCAAGGGAGGAGTGTGAGGGTAGAGAATGATCTTCCTTCTTGTGATCTGTGAAGGGTGTCAGCCTTGTGAGATCCTTACTGTGCCCCAGACTCCACACTTGTCATGAAAGAGTGAGGTTGTCCGTCTAGACACCAGGCAGCAGGTGTCTCAGAGGTTCTTCTAGCACCCATTTCTCTTCAGCTTAATTTGTGGCGATGATCTCAGTGCCAGAGCTCCCTTCAGAGATAAAAGTCACATCTCTGCAAAGGGTTACTGAGCAGATGCTTAATACTCATTGTCGTGTTCTTGCATTTGCAAGATTCCCTAATGAAAGAGGGAATCCCAATGCACAAGCATAGCAGTCTGGGCCTCCTTTGTGTTTATGTGTTTGTGTGCATGTGTGTAAGTGTAATCTTGCACTCACATTTGCACAACTCTGTACACTTTTAATATATAGGAAGAGTCTTAGAGATATCTGGAAGATAAACATAAAACTATGTATCACCATTATATTCAGGAAAGGAAAAAAAAACAGTCTGTAGAGGCAGAATTTTACTTCCCTCTGCCAAACAGATATGTACTATCTGAAACTGAAAACAAGTGGAAAAAAACTCCTGTTGGCTGTTGGATCATGCAAACAATTGTTCAGGTATCTACTTATAGATGTACAATCAACAGAGGAACTTCAACTCAATGAAAAATCCAGGGGAAGAGGAGGATAAAGAGGAGCAGTGCTGCTGGCAGAGGCAATGGGTTTCCTTTTGCTAGAAGTGGTGAAGAACAGCAGGTGCTCCAGTTTCCTGATGTATATAATTTTCAGTATCATGAGTCTGTTTCTTAGTGAGGAAATGACCGAAGAGAATGCAGAGACTGAAGAGAAGTTTCATTGCTGACATTTTCTGGAGGAAAATACTAGCAGTGGCAACAGATGCTTCTATATATATTTGGATATGAACAAATTAAAGTAGAGATGATTCCGTGAAGGCAGAGGACAGTCCAGAAATGCACTGCACTGCATGGAAGCCAAAGAATAATGAACCTTTGGTTAAGCTCTGTGGAATACGATGGAAATACACTTGCTGGGCTGCACCACAGCAAAGAGTATATGTTCTCTCCTTTAGAGCTATCCTGCTCTGATGTTTGCTGTGAGGGAAGTATGTGCTGAAGCTCTTCTGGCCCAGATGAGGAAGCAGTAGCTTTCCAGGCTCCTTAAGTCAGGTCCCGCATGGTGGCTCAGCCTAAATCTTATTCTGATGCCACAAAGAAGATAAAAAAGCTGCCAAGCTTCTTAGCAACTAGTATTTGACATAAAATTGCACTTTTCTTTCCTCCAATTCAGCATGCTGTCCCCTCGTTTTCTTAGCAGGAGGGGACCTGGGTGGAGGGGCTTGGTGTGCTGTTTGGGCCATTTGGAGCTGATTAGAAAACCTTCATGAGCTATTGCTAGCACAGTCCTGACCACAGGACAGGTTTCAGAAAGCCCTGGTGCAAACTAGATGCTAAATCTGGACATTCCCTCTTTTCCTTCCTTCCTGCCTTGGTTTGACTTGCACAAAAGAGTAAAAATCAGCTCTATACTTTAGATGCAGAATTTAAGTACTTACAGTCTGGAGCTAAATCCTACCCTTTCGTTTCATTTAAGTTGCACTCCTTTCTTAGTCAAGATGATGCCAACCTTTCGGTATAGTTGGAGCTTACAGAAAAATATATTAGTAGTAGACAATCTGCTAGCAAGTATGTTAACAGTCTTTTCTTTTTTGAACTATGGAAATGTAGATTTTTTTCAGTAAATGTGCACACTATTTTAGGAATTTCCATACAATGAAGTTGTGAAACATACATGAGGTTGCTTTTCTTCATCATTCTTTATGGTGAAGTAGCCTACAGACCCCCAGCAGGCTGTAGACTCCCAAGTTGAAAACTACTTAAACTAAACATGGCACGTTTCAGAAAGTGAATATTTTTCTTCTTTGACTAAGGTAAATGGAGTTTTTAAAATGTTGGTGTAAATACTTCTTTGGTATCTTACCTGTAATCAGAAGATGTATTAAGGTATGTTCTGATTTGTAACAAAATTCTTACTGATTGAAAGTGTTGCCTGGCCTTAGGAGTGTGGGCTTAAATGTGCACCTGACGAATCAGACTTTGCTCCTTGTGAACCAGCTTATTGGGAAGCCACTCTTCTATTTGCTTCCTGCTTGCATTTTGAAAATGTGTGTTTACTTGGAAGGCATTCCCTCTGTATTACCAGGTTGTCTCTTGGGCAGTTCTAGTTCTTGACTGCTGGCAGAGTTTCCTTCCCAGGAAGAAAACTTGAGCAGATCGACAGTGGATAAAATAAAATTTTCTTTTCTCAGCAGCAGGCTCCTGTTAGAGCCTGTGAGCAGAAGTACCCTTAGACTCTAAATTCGTGATTTGCCAAAGGGAAAAATAAAATATTGATGTATTCGTAATGAAATTGCAAAATCCAAGATAATTTTAATTAATGTGCATTCCCTTCAACTGCATATAACTCTAGAAGGGCACAGTCCAGTCAGTGAAGTGAATTAGTCTAAAAGCAGATAGCTCTACATTGTATGAAACCCCCAGTATTCAGGCTTGTTTTTTATGATAACTCTCAGCTAGTTTACCATTCTTACCTGCACTGTATCTTGCAGAAAGATCAAGAGAATCCTGTGGATGAGCTGTGGTTTAAGAATAACAAAATGAAAATTCCGTGATGCGGGAGAGTGAAACTCAAATGATGTGATGGAAGAGTTGCTTAGTTACTGCAGTGATGACAGTGGAACAAGACCTTATATAGGAATAGAAATGAAGTAGAAATGGAGATGGTTTTCCTGCAGTCATTCTGGTACACTGAACAAGATTTTTGCATACCAGTCAGCAAACAGAAACCACCTCCTACTTTTAGAATATATATGATTGAGGGAAAATGAAAGAGAAATTAAGTCTGGCTTGGGTAAAATTGTCAAAACTGGAGGAATAAGGAAAGATGTCCGGCATTTTGTGGATTTGCTTGAATATTCTTGAACAAGTAAATTCAATTAAATTTCAGAATAAGATGACTGGGTTTGCTCTCCAGGCATTTCTTTATCCATTGTCAAAAACAGATGGAGGAAATTTGTTGACCGTCTTTAGAGTTCTCCACTCTTCCTGTATTGTTCTTTAGTCATCTCCTAATGGGTGTATACAGTGTTAAATAAACTGGCCTAAATATTGTCAGGACCATCGATTTTCTTAGATGAACATTCCAAGGTTTAACATGCTGCAATATTGCAAAAAAAAAAAAAAACCTTTACTTGTTATCTTTGCTACATGTTCCACTCCTCAGCTCAGTTTCTTGTAGCTGCTTTTAGTTAAGGTCTGCATTCTGGGCCATACAGAACAACTTTATATGCTCTGTGGTTATTTGCTTTAAGCAAAAAAAAAAGAAAAAAGAAAAAAAAAAGTTCTACAGACCTAGGTAGAAACAGAGAACTGAAAAGGAGCACTTTAAATGTTGAAGGCATTGAATCCAGTCCCTTGTTAGCATACTGTCTTTTATCTCAATTATTATTATTGTGATAATAACTGTGGCAACAATTGTGACTGTTGGAATTATTTTATACTGCGTTGGTAACTTGGTGTCTCAGTCCTGGAGCACTTGGTACCAGGCCCCGTGCAAAGGAGCTGTGCCTGCCTCAAGTGACATATGGTTTCCCATAATTACTGTTTCTCTATATTTTTTAATAACTTGTGTGGGCATGTCTTGAAATCTTGCATTGAAACAGTTCCTAAAGCAAAACTATTCTTAACATGTACCAGATAGGTACTTTTTTCTGTCTCCAAATAATGTGCATTGCAGTCCCCTTCCCTGCCACAATTATTTTGGCTAGTAACTTCCTGCCAACATTTGGCATTCAAAGCTCGAATCTTCCTATCTGCCATTTAAAACCACTAGGTCTTCTTAGACAGTAAGAGTGGAATCCTTCTAACCAACTGTTTGCATCTGAGCTATCTGGCCAGACATCCGTGGAATGGGATCAGTTCACCTCATCCTGGACATCTAAACCAGGTCAGCTGAGTGTGGCTTGGAAACTACTGGAGTGTAACCAGGTTCTCTCCACTGATTATAGAGAGAACATAAAATAGCTAGGTGAAATACCAACATAGCAAAACATCTAAAGTTAAGCGAGTTGGATCCCACTCCACGTGTATTAATCTTCATTTCCTTGCCTCTTCTCTGGTCAGATATGCCTTTGCAAAGAAGATATAAAATATTACTATTTTGACCTAGGTGATTTAGCAAAAGCCTAATGTTCGTGAAAGATGACCATGACAGTAAAGAGTCAGGACGTGCTCCGTTTCAGTTCTGTTCAAGTCATAAAATGACTGACTTATTCGAAAATTTGAACAAAATAATGACCATGCATTTCTTTTCTTCAGGACAAGAAAGAAGACCACGAAGGAAGACAAGGGCAGAAATAGTTCTGATCTTTTCCGTGGCAACTGGAGTCATTGTGGTTATTGGTGTGATCTTTGTATTGGTCTTCGTAATTCTTCACCGGTAGGTGGACATCATACAATATAATTTTTGTGTGTTATTTGATCAAAATACAGTATTACAGTATTGTTTGGTGACAAACATGACATGAGGTGAGCTAATCACATTCCTCTGTGGTTTAATATTTATGCTGCCAGTAGAGAAATCTTGCATTGAAACAGTTCCTAAAGCAAAACTATTCTTAACATGTACCAAATAGGTATTTTTTTCTGTCTCCAAATAATGTGCATTGCAGTGCCCTTTCCTGCCACAATTATTTTGGCTAGTAACTTTAGCTAGTAACTATATTTATGCTGCCAGTAGAGAAAAATGAACAGGCTTCTTGAGATTAGAAAGGAACTACTTTGCATTGCAACTATAAATATTGTGAATGGGAGGGGGAATGATTCAGAACCATTAATGTAAACCTACTTAAATATACATTTTCATTCAATTCTCATTTCCATTTCAGGGCTTCTTTAAAAAATATTTGGGAATCAAAACTTGGAAAAGACAGCAAAGACAAACAGCTAGCCAAAAAGGATTCACCAAGAAATGTGGAAGAAACAGCCCCCTCCTCAGGGTCCGGATTGACTTTGAAAGGAAGTGGAACCTCTGCACCTGGAGCATCAGCTACAACGTTATCAGCATCTGAAACAACATCAGCACAAGAAGTGCCACAGCCCTCACCCACAGGGAATGAAGTAGAGGAGCCCGCTCAGGACTTGCAGGAGGAAGAGAATTAGGAAAAAAAAAAAAGACTGAGATACATAGATACATTATATAAGAAAAAGATTAAATATGCTTGAGATGCTGGTTTTAAGAAGTGCTTTTTATAGTTCATTCACTGACTTGTATCGCTGAACTTTAAATGAGATGGGTAAAAATACTTACCTTTTAAGGTGGACATCACTTTCCAGGTAATTTCATGGTCTGGGGACCTCTGAACTGGAGTATCAGAATCAGATTTCTGGGAGAATCCTGGAAATGATGTATTTCTCTAAGTTGGTGATTTCATCTAGCTCAGGCAAAGACCATCCTTTGTAAAATGCACCTTCGCTCATTGTTGATCTTCAAACACAACGCCTAGAGCGTAACCACTATGATCCAGTGTCTTCTTGACACCTGGAAGGATACGCAATGATATAAAAGATACTGAAAGTTGCTTCATAAGTTGCATTGAATTCGTACTTTCTCATCTACACATGTAACCATTTTTACTAACAAAGAGACCAAAACACATGAACAGAAGAACAGCCCCTTTGGGTCAAACCAAAGGTTCATCGGTATAAATGGCCAAAAAAGGATGCCTAGGGCAGAGTACAAGAACAACACAAGTTTGCATTATGCTTCCCCTATGTACTCTTCCAGTCTCCATCCATTTGCATATTTTTAAGTCTGTTGCAATTTCCAGGTGGTTAGCAATCTTGAATGGACTTTTTTTCCATTAACTATTGTGTGTCCTCTTGCACCCATGTAAACTTCTGTCACAATATCCTATGCCAAGAAGTTCCACAGCACAGCTGTGTTTGTTCTCCACTGTGAACTCACTACTTGCTAGTTTGATTTGTCACACAGTGAACCACCATTTCCCATCATGTTCTTTCTGACACTGACCATCTCTTAGGTGCCCATTATGCTCCTCTCGTTACTTGCTTTCTAGACCAAAGCCTGCAAGCTTACGTAGAGTTCTTCATTCACAAGTTGTTTCCACACCAGCCTTGCTCACCTCTAAACTTTCTCCATAATGTGTTTACTCTGTTTCTGAAGATGCTTTCTATTTGTGTAAATAAATGCTGTTTGCCGCAAATAAAAAAAATAAGCAGAGCTGATGAGATGTTGAAAAACTGAGTGTGCAGTGATTAAGATTTTTAGTAGATTTTATAATTACCTTTCTCTCTTGTGTATAATAAAAACTCTGAAAAGGGGCCAAGTATCAAGTAGAGAATGCTTCTTAATACAGAACACTGCAAAAAATGTTTAAAAAGAAATAGATAGGATGTAGTAACTCATCCTCTCGAAGAATTCCTGTTCTCTTCAGTTCCTGTATTGCTGCAGATGTTCTAACTGCACCATCTGCACATCCTTAAAAAAGCATTATCATATTTTTCATAGATACATCATTTTGTTTGCTGCTTAGTGAAAAGATCATTTACTTCTTTGAAAATGAAACATTTTAAAATGACATGTCCTTAGCTGTATAAAAATACTTCTTTTTTTAAAAAAAGGAAATGATATTTTTGGTAACGCTGTCATTGGCTATGTCATTTTATATCATTTGATGGACATGCCTAAAAATCTTGCAAGAGGAAAATGCATAGAGAAGGAAAGAGCAAACAATAATAGTATTGCTGTTTGGAAAAGTCGTTTACAAATTCAGAGTGAGTTTTTATCCCATGCTGTCAAAGAGAGCCTATTATAATGAGTCTGGGATTAGATAGAGGATGCTGGTCTTAAAAACAGATCAAAACCAATTGTTTTTACTCAGGAGAATGTTCCCATTGAAATTATATTAAAACCCTATCACCAGCTCAGTGATTGACTTCTGAATTGCTGCTTTCCTGCTGTAACTTAGGTTTGGCATGGTTGAAAGAGAGAACTGGATTATTAATTTTCAGAATTATGTGAAGATGTACAATTGCACAACAGTTTTATGTTTTAATTACATTGCAAAGAACCTCCCAGTCAAATTTAGGTTGGTATTTTGAACTTGCAAAATTCCCATGGTCTGCTGGCAAATCCAGCAGAATGTCATAAATACACAAGCAGATTAGTTCAGTTGATGAAATTCAGAACTGAGTGAACTAAATCTGTACTGGTAAAGGTGAGGTCCTTATTGTAGATGAAGGAGTTTTCTTTATTAGATTATATTTTGCAAAATAAGATCATCTTCAGCTTTTTCTCTCTCTCTCTCTCTCTCTCTCTGTCTTTTTACTTTGGTACCTTAAATCCTCCTACAGAATAGAAAAAAAAAATCCCTAGAAAATGTGATGGAAAAGCTGTAGCATGAAACACAGAAGAGCTCCCGTTGCTCCATTGCCAGGATAAGCAGGCTGTTCTGTTATTAAGGTCGCAATCACAAGCTCCAAGAAGTAAGAAATTCAAAAAATTTACATGTGTCTGGCCAGACAGTCACTACACAAAGACCATTTTATCATTCCCTTGCCGTGAGTGTAAACCTGAGTGAATTGCTCTTTATACTAGATGCAGTATAAAGCACACAGCAAGTGCAAAATGATCTTTTTAATGTGAGCCACCGCAACTTTCACTGATTTTTAACCTCATAAGCTAGATAAAAACTGGTTAGTTCTGAAGGTAAGCAATGACAGATCATTCAGGACAATCACAGAAAGATCATTCAGGAATAAATGCTTAATCTTAGATAGTTCTAAGGGGATGAAGAACATGCTGCCATCTATTCAAGTTCTGTCAGAAAGCAGTCACGATATAGAGCTGCTACAGGACTGCACACTGTGGAGAAGGCAACGCTCCCGAGGGCTGTGCTGTCATTCAGAGGGACCTGGACATGTTGGAGAGTTGGGCAGAGAGGAACCTCATGAGGTTCAATAAGAACAAGTGCAGGGTCCTGCACCTGGGGAGGAATAACCCCAGGCACCAGTACAGATTAGGGGTTGACCTGTTGGAAAGCAGCTCCGCGGAGAGGGATTTGGGAGTCCTGGTTGACAAGAGGTTAACC